ACTGCCATTCGAAATATTCGAAGATACAACTAGTACAATCACGCCCACAGCGCCGGCCGCTGATTTGGCCAAAGAAGTTGTAATTTTCCATGGTGAGGTGCCTTCTGCAAGTGGCCCAGATTTTATGTTCAAAACTCCTGCATTGCCTAACTCAACTTCCTTGGGGTCGACGGCATCGAAAGCCCAATCCACGAATAAACTCGGATTTGAAATTTTTTCTGAAACTTGTTCAGTTGAGACACAGCCAATAGCAAGTGCCATGGAAGGGGCTGTGGGGGGTGCAGTTTATGATCCTGAAGAAACATGTTCAACGCAAACATTTAATATATTTATCAAATCGCAATCGGTTAGCACACCAAAGATGCTGCAAAAAAGTGCACCACGCCAATTTGGTTCAGTTTTGAAGAGTATTCCGAATCCTCCAGAAATTCTGGACAGCCCAGAGTTTCCCTCTGCAGTTGAACCCAATGTCGATGAGCAGGAAAATGCTCTCAAAGGCACATCGGAGTATTCGCCAGAAATGGTAAAACAGCTATCAACCATTTTAGAAACCTCGGAGCATGGCACCACTCAAGGCACTCACACAACAGGTGGTACGACAACAAAGTCCAGTAGTAGTACTTCCGATGGGGAGGGCGAACGTGAGGTTTTAACACGCCTCATAATGCCACATACTGAGTTAGAAACACTAGAAGAGCGATCACGTGAATCGTCCACCATGCCGCCAGAAGTGGTTGTGTCCATGGAAAACATCAGTCTGCAAAGTAATACAACAACACAGGCCGCAAATATAGCTCGGGCAGCTGAAGATGAGATGGCTCATAAAGAGTTGCCAACTATTGCTACTACGACCGTTGTTGTGGAGGCAGCAACTCCGGCAGATATGCGTTTACAAACCGATGTACACATACCAGCTAACGCTTTAAATTTTTCTATATTCGAAGATGATCGTACTGAGCCGCTCAAAATTAAACAAGCTGGCAATTTTACGCGCATTGATGAGCCAGAGGACACTGCGGCTGGATATGCTATANAGCTAACGCTTTAAATTTTTCTATATTCGAAGATGATCGTACTGAGCCGCTCAAAATTAAACAAGCTGGCAATTTTACGCGCATTGATGAGCCAGAGGACACTGCGGCTGGATATGCTATACGCAGTTTACGTTTTCAAGAGGACAAGACTGAGACTATGCCTAAAATGCTGATGCATTCGCGCTCAATAGTTAAATTTCAGGAAGACAAGACGGAAACATTGCTTAAAATCCCCATAGCACCAACTGCAATGATGCAGTTGGAAGCAGAAAAAACTGATACGAAGATTGCGCTAGATCCACCCCAACTGCCAGCTATTAAAAATGTCAGTTCGAATTTGGATGATTCATTTGAGTTTTTTGGACAGACTCCGCCTGGGAAAAGTATACTGCACCCAAGGTATGAAGTTTCTGCATTTAAGGAATGCATGGAGGCACGTACCCCAGCATCTAAACGTCACTGTGATGCCGATACACCAGACGTAATGCACTTGAAGGCAGCGCAAGCTATACAAAAGCAGGTAGGGTTGTGATTA